GTTTACAAGTGATAAAATTGTATAACTAGTCAGTTAAATTATAATTTAAGTACATATTATGATAAATATAATCATTGATAATTAAAATACTTTAATATATAATTTATATATCTATTGGGTATATAATTTTACTTCTTTTTTTCCTTTGTTATTGTCTGAATTACTTTCCTGTCACTGCTGAGACAAAATACCTGACACCCAAAGTTAAAGGGGGAAAGGTTTAGTTAGCTCACAGTTTGTACAGGGTTCAGTCCATTATCGACTGGCTCCAAGGAAGGGTAGCTTGGCAAAGGGGGACTGCAGAGGAGAAGCGGTTCATGGCAAGCAGAGGACAGCAAAAGCAGGCAAACAAGGGACAGCCACAGCTCTCTTTGCCCCTTTTATTTTATCCAGGCTACTCTGGATGGGTAGCATTCACACCCTTAATCCTAGTGCCCCTGAGCTTAGCATTGCACCATGAATCAATTCCAGCATCACACACTCTAGATCCAGCCACCTCTGACCTCATGAGGCTTTGGGGGGACATCTACACATAAGCGACAAAAATTATGTTTCAGTAATTTATTTACATTGGCACATACAGATCTGGCTCATGCATTATAACAAAACTACCTATTATTGGTTGCATTAACAGATCCAAAATTTATTTATCCTATCTTCTTTTGGTGAACAGTAGGTCATTTTCAATTTCTGGCCACCACAAATAGTGCTGCAGCGAGCATCAGCAGGTTCCAGGATTCTATCTCGTGGATGCCTACAAGGAGGATGCTGAATTATGCTTTGTGAACATTTTCAATTTTTCTAGTCCATGCCAAGTTGGCCTCCAAAATGGTGGGTGTGATTTTCATCCCATGAGCAGTGTTATGGTTTGTTTCTGCACATCCCCCCAAATCCTCATGTAGTCATGGGGTGGGCTTCTAGATTTATGATTGAGCCATAGTCCAGTGCTGGGATTATGGGTGTGAGTGCTACACTCGTGCTGGGGTGGATAGTTTGCTTATCTCCATTGCTGAGAAGGAACAAGAGAATGGAAAAGATGGCCTGAGGGCATCAAAAGAAGCAGCAATGTAAGGGAGAGAAAGAGGCTGCTTGCCACCACTCCTCCCCTTTGCTCTTGCTGCTTTTGCTATCTTCCACCGCCATGAACTGTTGCCCTCTGCCATGTGCCACCCTCCCTTGGAGCCAACTGAGTATGGACTGAAACCTCCACAAACTGTGAGCTGAATAAACCTTTCCTTCCTTAATTTTGGGCATCAGGTATTTTGTCTCAGCAACAAGAGAAAATTAGCCAAGACAAGTAGTATGACAATTCCAATTTCTGAGCTTCCTTCCCAACACTTTGACTATCAATCTTGAAATCTTGCTCAGCCAGTGGGTATGAAATGAGGTCTCATTGTGTCCCAGTGTATTTCCCTAAACACTTGTGAAGCTGAGTATTTTCTCATATTCCTTAGCCTTTGGAGTTTCCTCTTCCATTACTGTCTTTTCCTATCCGAGCCTATGCATTGCTCTTTTCTTACTGAATAGTACTAAATTTTGAAATAATAAAGTGTTTCTATTTTAAGACAATGATTCCATGTTCAGAGTCATTTCCAAAAACTTGAGAAATAGTCCCTGCCACGTCTCTGTTCTTTTTTGAACGCACTATGACTCAATGACCAAGGGTTCTCACTGTGCCTGCTGCTCGGAATGCTCCTTCCTGAGACATCCTGAAGGCTTTATTTCACCCGAGCTCAGGTCACCTGGGGGAGGTCTTTACCACCCTTTCAAAGCTACAGTCTTTTCTTGGCCCCCACACTTCTTTAACTACTAATCTGGTCTTATTTTTCTTGGGACACATTTTGCCCTCTGTCATGTTTTTCTTGCTTATGGTGAATTAAAGATAGTCTCAAATTTTTAACCAAGTGAGTTCTAATTCTCTCCTCTTGAATCTGGTTAGCCTTCGTCACATAACCACGCAAGCCCACGCAGCTAGCAAGTGACAGGGCTAAGCCACAGATTCTAGCACACTGACTCAGAGTCCATGTGCCTTGCCCCTGTCTGACCCTGTATTCTGGTCTGTTCTCCCAAAAACTTGTAAACTACCTATTCAGGGTTTAAACTGTCTTGTGGGGAGTGTTTTTGTCAAACCCCCAAACTCTTCTTTCAGAAAAAAAATAGAGATTAAATTCATATAAGATAGGAAGACCGGGGGCTGGGGATATAGCTCAGCAGCACAGCATCTGCCCGGTAAGCACAAGGTTGTGAGTTTGATTCCTGGTACTGGAAAAAAGGAAAAATAAAAAGATAGGAAGACCAACACATGCAGGGTGCACACGGGAGTACTTCTGGAATGACATCTCTCACTGCAGGTGCCAAAGCCCCCTGACACCTAAGAGCACAGGGGTAAATGGTATCCGTTATTCTTTGTGGGACCAAACCTCCTAAGAAACTAGAACACTTCTGAAGCAAAACAGTTCTCTAAAGATAGATTTCTTGACACAGTCAAATTTGCTTGAATCAGATTTGCTTGAGTTATACTGAGATGGGTAATGTTCCTTAGATTCCACATTTTCCATTGGTTGTGTACAGATTAAGGACACAGTTATTCCACTCGTCCTGAGAAGCATGACTTGAATGACTTCTACTAAAATACCAATAGCTGTCTCATCTCTGTAGGGGGCAGGAACTGGCCTCTCCCTACAGGGCTTCAGCCCCCTATGCCCATGGAAACTGCCTGGATTGTTCAGGGACTGGCCTCTCCCCCAGCTCAGTTTTCTCACCCACATGGTCTGTAGGTTTGGGAGCTTGGAGAGGATTTCCTTATTTCGCCAGGTTGTAAACTCATGAGGAAAGAACATCTTCTTAAACCTAATGCATAACTTAGGAGAACATCAGCCTCTTTTCCCTAAGTGGAAGTTGTTCGTGGGAGTAGAGCAGAAGGTGGAGCGTGGGGGTTCTAAGATAGTTAAGAAGCCCCCTGAACAAACAGTGGCGGGAAACTTTGGAACCTAGGTGATAACCAAGTGGGATATCTGGCACCCAGGAGGGTGGCAGTGTCTAAAGCTGACCCAGAGTTTTATCTCATTTGTGTTAATTTAAAGATTTTTTTGAACACATTTTGTCCAGATCAACATGCATTCTGAAGTTCTGGATTTTTGACAGTATTAATAAGTGGACAGTGACTCCCATCCTGCCACTTTTGCCACTTTAGTGAGCTGTGTGCACAGAAATCTGCATTCCAATCTTATGACTTTCCTCCCTTCCATCAGAAAACACACAGCGAACATCATGTCCCTGCGAAAGTTTTAGTCCGGTGCTTGGGACATAGTAAGTTCTCCATAAACACAGACCGGCATCTTCTTTTGACTTCTGGAAGTTGTGATTGGAACTTGAAACTGGAACTCTACCTAACAACAAACTAAATGTGATTGAAAAACAGGGGAACAAGCTAATGTGGTGGCACCCACCTATAATCCCAGCACTTGGGAGGCTGAGGCAGGAGTCATGAGTTAAAGGCCAGCCTGGGCTACATAGTAAGTTCAAGGGCAGCCTGAACTATGTATTGAGACTCTGTCTCAAAAAACAAACAAACAAAAACTCTAGGAGAATGTTTTAAAGGATCTTTTAAAAATATAGTAGTATATGTATGTGTGTATATGTTTGCACTCACCAAAAATTATTAAAATCTTAGTAAAATTTAAAAATATACATCATAGTAAAAGATACATTCCCATTAATCTCCTTTAAAATATTCCCTCTTGCTGCAAACATACTTATCCCATCATTCTTGCCACTTTCTGAAGTAGTTCTGGAAGTTCTCTTTCTTAAGCAGCTTTAGTTGCACTGTCATGGCTGCCTCAGGTGTCCTGAATTAATATAAAACATTCACCTTTTGCAGGCATCTTCACTTTGAGAAAGAGGCAAAGTCACATGGCACCAGAACTGGTGAACCAGGTGGGTGAGGACATGATGTAACGTTCTAGTGAGCCTGCCTTTTCATTGAATAACATCTGGCAGGAGCATTCACTGTGTTTTTGATCAGACCTCCTGAAGACCCTAAAAGACCACTTCCAATGCTGCTTCAGAAAGTAGCGATGATAGAATAAGTGTGTCCAAAGAAAGGGGCGGTGTTTTGAGGGAGGTTTAAGTAATGTGCCTTTCACTGTATTTTAAAAATGTAAACGTTTACTGTATATATTGACCACCCTCTGCATCTTAGAAGGCTGTCCCCGGGGTTCTCCCTGTGGTTCCATATCTTAAACAGCAGCATTCAAATATATTTCAGTTTAAAGCTGGTGTGTAACAGATTATTTTTCTTCCATGTAAAAAGCATCCCACTCTTTCTAGTGACTTATTGTACCTTTTGATGGACATATTGTAGGAGTATAGTGAGGAAATACCCAAAGAACCCAAGACTCCCTGAGGAGAGCGAGACAGAGGACAGATATCGCAGACCAAGACCGCTATGCCTGGCTTTTACAGCATTTTCATGATCATTTCTTTGGCTGACTTGTCATCTCGTCAGAGCGGCTGGACTGACAGTGAAGGTTGTCACAGAACGCAAGTTACTCCAGAGCTAAGGAATGCGAGGGCAGATGTTAACTCCTGTTTATCGTCCCTGAAGATGAAACATGTGTCGGCACTTTAGTAGTAGTTACGTCCACATGTCTTACAGGTAGAGAGAACACCTCTTCCCAATCAAATTAAAAAGCAAGCTCAGCAGTTTCAAGAAACTTGCTGGGTATATTGGAGCCCCAAATAAACTTCATCAAGAAATCTGTTTCAAGAGAATATTCTGCTTAGTTCTATGGCAGGTTAATTCACACACATATTACAGAGATTACAGATTCGTATCTCACCCCCGAGCCCCATTCACTTATATGCACGTGTGCTCTGGCCATACCACTGCTTACCCTGACATCTAGCATTCGTAAGTGAATAAGGGAAGAGCTGGAAGGGCACAGTCAGTTGGGCCAACCCGCAGCCTCTGCCTGGCTGGCTTCCCAGCTCCAACTTACATTTGTTGGCTTTCAGCTTTTTTTCATCCACGGGAATGAGGTCCAGGTAGTCCAGGTAGTACTCATAGCTGTAGTACGGGGCAGATGTGTTGGTCCTGTTGGCCATGGCCGTGGGCAGCCAGGGTCTGGTCAGCAGCTTGCATCCGGAATGGGGTCCTGAGCCTCAGAGAAGACTGTTTAACTGATTTCTGCAAGAAGTATCCAAGTGTGTCTGCGGTTCTCCAGAAACAAGGACTGCCCACTTATCAGAGCCACTTGGCCGGAAGAGAGGTCAGGGGTGTGCCTGACATGTCCAGCCTCTTCTTGGTAAATCTCCAAAACAAGCAGAGCTGACAGTAAGAGATTGGGTTTCCAATGCAACTCCAAATTGCCTCTCTGGAAGGACAGGGAACTGGGTGGGAAGACAGAGGCCAGGACCTCTTGAAAGATGCCTGCACAGGTCTGTAATCCCAGCACACTGGGAGGCTGAAGCAGGAGGGCTGCAAGTTTGAGTCCAGTTTTGGCAACTTAGTGACTTAATGAGACCCACTTTAGAAGAAAAATAAAAAATGGACTAGGCATGTAGCTCAGGGCAAAGGCCCTAGATTTAATCCCCAGTGTGTGAGAGAGAGAGAAAGAGCGAGCTGGAAAGAACAATCACTTCTTGCCTTTAACACATGCAAATTTAATAAAACTGCAACAAAAGTCTGACAGTGCCCTTGACTTCCACTGAGATCACTTGTGGTACTATTAAGCAACAGCAAAGTCCTGGCTCAGATACAGTATCTGAAGACAGAGCCTGAGTGATGCCAGGCCTGAACTTGTAACCTCTCATGTACATGGAATGAATTAATCACAACCCAAACGCCCCACCGCCCCAGTGGAGCACACAGCCCAGCTTTTACTTAAGCCCCCGAGAACCAATCAGGCAGGGATACTTGTTCAGACCGGAAAGGCTTTTTATCTGGGCCAAGATCCCACAGGCCTGTGCTCTTGGGAAATAAGGCATAAGGGTCCACAAGCTCTTGGCTGACGCAGAGGGTGAGGCGGAATCTGAGTTTCTGCCCCGCCTGCCTCAAAGTTCTGTGCTCGTTCCTCAAGATCCTCGGACTCCATCAAGAGGAACATTCTGAATGTTGGAATGAGCAGCAGTAAGTGTGAAGGGAGCCCTAGCTATCAAGGAAGACATAAAAGGACAGCAGCGATAGCCCTTGGGGCCGCTGCCCTCTTGTCCTTGTGGTGCTCCGTTCTGCTGGTGGGATGTGTCTTTTTTCTCCTTCGAATCACACTCGTCCCTCTCAGCGCTTCTTTTGTACTTGTTCTCCTTTTCTTCTTATTTCTGTCCTGAAATACAAGGTCATTTTCACACACACCAACTGTCCTGACCATTTCACTGATTGGCACAAATAAGAACCTGAACACACAGCCGGTCCCTACCCCATCTGATAACACTAGAACTTTAGCCTTTGGGAGTTAGGAAGTCAAAATACACAGATCTACAGGGTCTTCACCCACGTCCCTGCTTTCTAGGGTTTTTGATTCAGGTCCACACCGCCAGAATTAAGCTGGACATTGACCCCATGGACTGTCCCTGTAGTGGACGTGAGCCCTGCTGGCTTTGACCGCACTGCTGTACCCGCAGGGAGCTCTCTGAGGAGGCTCAGTTCACTGGAAGGGGAGGAGTGCGCTCTGGGGATGTGAAGGGTCAGCTGGGAACCTGAAGGAAACCCCGGTTTCCTCTGCTCTCTCCACTTCTGACAGCAAACGTGTGGATTTGATTTTCTTTTCATACCGAGTAACTTCTGGTTTTCACTTTCCAGTGCCCAGGTGTCCTACAACTTAGCTCAATTCTGAGGCAACTACTCAGAGCTGTCACAGAGGCTATGCGTTAAAGACCTGTCCCGCACAGCCCCTGAACACACACACACACACACACACACACACACACTCACGCACGTGCACTCATGCGCGCGCGCGCGCACACACACACATACATATAGTTCAAAAGCCCATCACAAGGCCCACGTGTCACATTATTTCTGAGCGCCTTCTACACAGCCGAGGTTCCCACAACCCCTTCCCCTGGCTTGGTCATTTGCTACACCAGCTCACACAAATCACAAAAGCAGTCTCCTTACTAGAGAACCTGTTTGTCAGAAAAGAAGTCCGCTCAGGAAGAGCCAAACGGAAGCCACTGTTAACAAGCCAGCCTGTCTTGCCTGCTGCCCAGGGCACCAGTCGCTGAAATGAGAACCGTTTCAGAAAAGAACGCGAGATGTTCACCAGGTGAACAAGTGCGAAAAGACAGGAACTCCAGGTCTCAAACGCGCCCCGCGAGGCGTTTAAAGGTGTCTATGGGGCGGGCTGCGGGAGAGCGGCGGACTCTGTCTGCGCAAGCGTACTCATCAGAGGGCGTTCAGAAAATCCTCTTCCCTACAGGTGCAGGCTTCTGCCGCCTTCTTGCACACACCCACTGACGAGAAAGGCTCTGAACTCCTGAGCTTCATTTCCAGCCCAGGGAAAGTAACTGTGAAACAACCTAGCTATGCTTTGTTCTCTGTTTGCGGTTCCTTCTCCCCTTTTCTGTCTGCTCAGCTCATCAGAACGATTAGCCTACTTTATAGAAGGAAATGTTGCCTAGAATCACAAGCCAAGCCAGGTAAGATCTTTACAATAAATTGATTGATCGGAAATTGGTGATGGATAGAGGAAGAGGGAGAGAATGTTTGAGTCCAGGAGGAGGGCGCGGGCCTCCTGCTGCCATTCCCAAAACCTCCTCCTGCTCACCTCCCTCCACATTCCATTCTGAAGCTGGGCGTGGTGGCGCACACCTGTAATCCCAGCACTCGGGAGGCTGAGGCAGGAGGATCGTTAGGAGTTCGAGGCCAGCCTGGCTACAAAGTGAGCTCAAGGTCAGCCTGAACTGCGTAGCCAGACCCTGTCACAAAGAGACAAAAAACAAACAAACAGAACACATTCCGTTGTGAGCAGCCAGAACTCTCCTAATCCTGCCAGGCCCTGGTGCGCTCCCTGCTCCCCAGCTCCAGTCATCTACATTTGTCGTCAACAGCACCCTCTAAAAAATTATTTTCCAATCTAAGTATAATTTATGATAAATCAGGTGCACAGCTTCTCAGGACACAGAAATATTTCACACACGTGTGCACACACAGATACAGACACACATCCATGTTACCATAGTTCAGGTCAATGTGTAAACATTTAAAAATGAAAAAAAAAACAGGTGTGGTGGTGCATGCGTGTAATCCCAGCACTTGGCAGGCTGAGGCAGGAGGGCTGCCTTGAGTTCAAGACCATTTTGAACTACATATCAAGACCCTGTCTCAAAAAAAAAAACCCTGGAAAAATATATAAAAATTATAAAATGCGTAGTAATGGTATTAGATTATAACCCATAAGAGAGAGTACATGTTCACAAATCTATACTGATAAATAATTGACTAAATAAACAAATGCTAGCAAAACGATAACTCTTCTAACAGAAGAATTTTAAGTAATAAGTGGAGAAGGAACGGCATAAATAGAAACTCACCACTAGAACCTCAGAACATTAATTGCGGGCAGATGAGCTATTGGGAGGCAAAGCTAGTAAAATTAGCAGGCACAAGTTGGAGGCATTTTTAAAATTTCCTTCAGGCTATGTATTAGTAACTTGAAAAATAATACAACACAATATTGTTGACACAGAGAAAAACACTTATAGTGAGGAAACTCAGCCAATACCACTAACAAGGTTAAACCATCAGTAACAAGCACGGTGACGTCATGTAGCCCTTGACATGACCCACTCCGTGGGACACATCACCTCTTAGTATTTTCACTGAAATGCATGACCTTAATCTAATTATGACAAAACACGGACTTTCTATTGTATTGTTCAGGAGGATCAAAGTCAAGAAGGCAAGGACAAACTGAGGAAATGTAACAGACTGGCGCAGATGAAAAAGAAAAAACTACTGACAAGTGGCATTCTAGGGTGGATGGTAATCTCCACATGCCTGGAAAAGAAAAAGGATATTGTAGAAAGTCTGGTGAAATCACAGTAAAATCTGTAGTGTCGTTACTAATGTGTTCATCAGCTTTCTGAGTATGTTTAGGAACAGCTTGAGGGAGGAAATGTTTCTTTCGGCTCATGGCTTTGGAAGATTCAGCCTACGGTCCCTGGGCTCCATTTATACAGAATATATTACTCAATAAAAAGACAAATAACTGCATTTAAAAGTTAGCAATAGCACTGGACAAATACTTGACAAAGAAAGATGTGTGAGTAGGCACTAAACACACTGAAAAAGTGTTTAACATCACTATGCATCAGGGAAATGCAAATAAAAATAGGAGATGCCCCCCTCAATAGAATGGGTAAAATTAAAAAGACTGACAGTAATAACTGTTGGTGAATATATAGAGCAGGTGGAAATCTCAAAGATTGCTCATGGGACTGCAAACTGGTATAACATGTAAAGAAGACAGATAGAGCCTCCTACAGTATGAGTACTTATGTCTGAAATGCTGGGACAGGCAAATATGTGAAAAAATATTTGAAAAAGCTGATATCCCTAGGATGGCAATCGGAGAGAGACTGGGAGGAGTGAAAGGAACTCTGGAAGTGATGTAAATGTTTTCTGTCTCAGTGTAGATAAGAGTTAGGTGGGCATATGCATTTTAAAAAGCTCATCAAATTGTACAATTGAGACTTGTGCTTAAACCTGGTGTGGTGACCTGTTATCCCAGCACTTGAGAGGCTGAAGCAGGAGGATCACTGAAAGTTTGAGGCCAGGCCAGCCTGAACTACACAGTGGGACCCTGTCTCAAACACAAACAAACAAACAAACAACACAAAACACTTTTAGCAACTGTATACAAAAACATGAAGGGTTTAAAAAGGACCATTTTCAGAAAAGGAAAAACCTAAAGTGTAAAGAAATTTAAATTATTGGAATTTACATTGCAGTTTTGTGGAATTATTCTTCAGGAGTATTTAATTTTGAAGTTGTGACAGAAGCCTGCCTGGTGATGCACTGGGGACACTGCTGGTAGCCCCCGTATGTCTGAGTTGAACTGTTGGGCTTTCCGGTGGTCCTGTCCAGGGAAGTGAGGCTGGGCCATAAGACAGATCTTCAATGCTTAGAGTTGAACACCAAGATTTGGGGCTTCAGGGGGCGTGGCTCAAGTAAAGAAAGGTCTTCAGAAATTTATAGGCTTTCCTAAGTCATCAAGTTTATGTAAGTGAGTAAATCAGTGGATTGA